CTTAGAGATAGGGTAAGGAGCTCGGTCATCAGGAGGGAACTTGGAGTTCAGCCGCTACTCCTTCGCATTGAAAGGAGTCAGCTGAGGTGGTTCGGGCATCTAATTAGGATGCCTCCTGGACGCCTCCCACTGGAGGTTTTCCAGGCACGTCCAACTGGGAAGAGACCCCGGGGAAGACCCAGAACACGCTGGAGAGATTACATCTCCCAGCTGGCCTGGGAATGCCTCGGGATCCCCCAGAATGAGCTGGAACATGTTGCCGGTGAGAGGGAGGTCTGGGTCGGCCTGCTTGGCCTGCTGCCACCGCGACCCGACCCCGGATAAGCGGTGGAAAATGGAAAATGTATATACAGTGTATATATATATATATATATATATATATATATATATATATATATATGATATACATATATAACTATATATGAGCAGGGATTCTAGGCGATGGGAGCAGCAAGAGGGTGGGGGGGGGGGGACAGCTGGTGACGCAAACAGGAAGTCCTCTGTAGCGTAGGCCGTCTCATTTCGGAGACCGCACGGTCTAGCCTTCACGGCCCTCAAAGGATGCGGCCCACATAGACCGCGAAGGCTGGGTCCTCCGAAGGATGCAGCCCCTGAATTGAGACACAGCTTGTGAGGACCTGCTCCTTATGTAGTTATGAAGGGCTCATTCTAAGCTAGCGAAAGCACAACAATTCTTAGTTCCTGGTGATTATACCCCAATGACAAAATAGTCATGATTAATATATTCCATTTCTACTAACAGGTCCCCCTAAAATCCTACACACTGTACATTTACCCATAGACCAAAAGCGTGTCGGTCGCCCTTGGAAAACAGGGAAGAAAACAGGATTAACAGGAAGGCAGCACTGTAAATTTTTATTTTTTATGATTTAGCCACTACAATAAAGGCTTTTTAATATTTATTTCCTTGTTGTTACCGAGATTTTGGAGTCCCTGGATCGTCTTCCTGTTTATCCTGTTGATTGTGCTGTTTGGCCCTCTGCTAGGATCCAATGAAGCATCTTGTGATTTTGCCTCATTTCAGGAGCTTGGTATTTGCGTGTGAAGATATCATGTGTTCTCTTTGTAGAGATGTGCCAGAAGACCAAAATAGCAGAATGTTATTAGAATTGATTATTAGCGTCATTAGCTCCCAGCTTTGTGTCCAGGGAATCTTGAAGCCTCACCACTAAGTTCCACTGGAGCCTCTCTGAGATGAAACATTGTTTAATTTTAGTCTGTAAGATGTGCCACACTGTAATCATGATGATGTTCTGCAGTCCCGTTAAAAGGAAGAGTAAACTGTTGTTCACTCACACGGTAGATATAACGCTGTATTAAATCGTGCCAAATTAAAATCCCAACAGAAATCTTCTTACAGGTACGGACAATCTAATCAAATAGCAGTTACAGGGGCTGTGAACCCATGTACATTTATTTCAAATAACACTATTATTCTTGATGGTTTCATTTTATAATTATTAATTTTATGTACATTGAGGTGACCAGATGTTGGGATCTCTTAGGAAAATCTCTGGATGTGTTAACCCTTTATAGGCAGCGGTAATATTAGTGTTGTTTAACCGGTGATTTATAATTTTTTTTACCAGAAACATTATTGTCATATTGCACAAAACAACTGCAGCATATTAGCGTATTACTGGTGCTTTATGTAATCTGTGTTATTGTCTGCCTGTCTTAAATGATTGTGTGTGCGGAGCATGTGGTGGGTTTTGAAACGGATGGGGGTTCACTGAAAGGACACTGTTCCCAAACCACATTTTGTTACAGGGTACCCTAAACAAACATAATGTAGCTACAGTGCAAACCAATGCTGCATCTCCAACTGAACTCAAATTCAATTGTCATATCCATAGACTGTATATAAGAAGTGGAGTCGGGGCCTGCAATCCATTAGCAGCTAACGCGAGCGTTAGCTAGTTATCTAGCTTGGATAGCTTGGTGCATCTGTAATTTACATAAACTGTGAAAATCTGGATGGCAATTTTGACTAGCAAAAAAAACGGCTTGTACTGGAAAAAATGAACAGCCAACTCCTTAAAGTGTCTTTTAGTTTCATCAAACGCTGAACAATTCTGTGGTAGCAGCGACTTGACAATCACAAGGTAGCCACGGCCAAAAGCATACCCTGCTTTTTACTCTAAACTAGAGCGTAATTTACTAAATGAACATCATGCTGTATTGAAGAAGACTTGCATCTATAGGGATTGAGACCATAAACTCATGTTTACAATGTTTACTGAGGGAATAAATGAAGTGAGAAGGAGGGTTATTTTTTCATAGACTTCTCTACAATCTGACTTCTTTTTGCAAACGGAGGAGTCGCCCCCTGATGGCCATTAAAGAGAGTGCAAGTTTCTGCTCATCTAAGTAGACATGTATTACTGGTAATCTAATAATTTTGTATGATTTGGATGCCTGCTCATCACTCTCTTACCTGGGCAGGTGATACGTTCAGGTTAGGTGAGTGTGAGAAGGTCAAATCCCTTTCACCTGAGTAAGAGAAGAAAGAGGAGTCGGCAGCTTTCTTTTGCTTGGTGTTCCTTTTCCTTCGTTTTATTGCAATTCCACCATCTTCACAGCTTCTACTGCAATGCTTGCAGACACATTCACATTCCGTTATTTGAGCCCACACTCATTGGGGTGGACAAAATAATAGACACACCTGTCAGTACAACGCAATACAAATCGACAGCCCCACAAACTGCAGCCTCCAAGATAACCAAACACTTGAATCAACATCTAAAACAGTTTTCACACAAACGGAAACTTTATAGAAGGGAGGATTTATCGCAGGTCTTTTGTATTACAATGCATTAGTGTTTAGCTAGATGGACTTCACGAACTGGCAACTGAGTGTATATCAATTTACCATGGTGTTCAATCTATATTTGTATGTCATAATAATGTATAATCCTTATTTATTTCAAAGACTATAAATTATATTGTATGTGGATTAAGCCTTATTGGCCTGTTCAATTCATACTCTTTATACTGTCCTCAAAAACTCCTACAATGGAACAAAACATGTAGAGTCCATGAGATGCACTACTTTCTGCTAACAATCCCACAATACAATGGCTTGGTATTTATAGATGAAAGATTATAGGTGAAAATGAACGCTATGAAACACTACATTTGTCAATGATCACACAAAATGATGACGATTGATAAAATGCACTTTTCACTACAGAGTACACTGTAAGGAGCAGTGAATGACTTTAGCTTGGACTCAGTCTGTGGTGCTGATCCATGGCCTCCCTCCACGGACCATCAGACCCAACATCATCCACACTGGGCTCACGTGGGCTCTTTCAATACCTACTGCTCTTTCAATGGTGCTGAAAAAATGGCTACATGGATCGCCTCAATGTCATTGGTTCGTCCTTTAAAATAAAGAGACTTTTAAAAGTGCAACATTCGAAATTTAAAGGATATCTTTGATTTAGGGATTGTCTCAACGGCTCTCAACATGGCGACGTATAAAATTATACAAATATAAAATTTAACAGTGACTCCCATCTTATTCTTTCTTAAATTGGCATGAACTGCCATGAGACATGAAAAAAGAGCTACACTTTGAACTAAATTTCAAGATGGTGATGGTGCGGAGTCCTCTGGCATTTCTTTGTAAACCACCAGGGTACTTCAGGGTGTAACTTGGGTTTAGGCCTACAATAGTGAAGCCTCTGCTGTCCCAGCCACAGTACAAGTAATGCTTTCATTTTCCACCATTATTGCAAATCAGTAGTACTGTTCTGCCACAAAAATTTGAATTTACAAAATTTGATAGAGAATATTCTGCACCAAAGACAATGAAAACCAATACAGAACTATTGCAAGAAATGAAGGCTATCATTAAGAAAAATCACAAGTATTAAAATCTGCGATGATCATTGACATTCATAAAACATTGAAGAACATCTTTCATTGACCATCTGCTCCTTCAGAAGCCTGTTAAAAGAAGACACATATCAGATTAGGAGAGAAGAATGGCGCACACGTATTTCCCCCCCTTTTAAAAAAATCCGATCCCATGTCTCCGAGGGTGACATAGAAAGAAATCTGATGATGGCATTATATAATATTATTGAATTGTATCATGCGTTGTGTTCGTGACCTGCCCATCCTGTCTACGGGGGGGCTGCTGACGCGAGCTGACAAGCAGCGGACATAAAAGGTGGACGGAGTCCCCCGTCCCCCATCTCATCCGAACCACTGAGTGTCAGCACGCGCCGAGCGACTTCTGCCGCAGACTTCTAAGTGGAACAGGCGGGAAAGTGACATCAAAGGTAAGCGACTCCTTCACTTTATTCTTTCTGATCTCCCGAAAAGTTCTCTCGTGTCGACCACAAACGTGCGCTCGAGAGGGAGAAAGTTGCTCTGAATGTTCCTCGGTGACGTTCCTCTCGGTAGTAAACCTTTATAAATACTGTTCTGTTGATGATGACATATATATTTTTATTTGTGTCTCTTTCTCAGATGCAGAGGTTCTTTGGAATTTTTTGCGTGTCGCTCATCTTTTGCGCAACTCTCTCTGAGACCATCGGGTTGGTTATTGCGGTAAGTGAGCTGTTCAGATTCCGAATTTTAGAACGCTTTGTTGTTATCTTGTGTGTGTTTGTGTGTTTGTGTGTGTGTGTATGCCTAATTATTCGGAGATGCAAAAATATAATTCAAAATACCAGCATAAAGGAGACAAATGGTCGCTATAGAATAACAATGTAAAACACATAAATATATAATATTAAATAATGTAAAAGTTTGGCAATTTATAATAAGGAATTTGACAAGGGAGGCAGAGAGAAATACCATGAGATATATACAAAATGCTCAATAGGTTGGTTGTATAGGGGATTGTACAGTAAACTGTTGGGGTGTCTCAATATATAGAAGTAAAGCCACTGTGTCAGTTTGTTACACCTTTGGGCCCTTTAATGTATAATAACAATATATAACGATATATAGCACGTTTTCTAGTGGTGCAATAAATGCCTATTTTGTTTATACTCCCGTTTGAATTAAATACTTGATAAATGAAAAGTTTTCTCATTTAAACAAGAACTTTAATGCAAAATGAACAGAAAAAAGTATATATATATATATTTACAGCTATACACCGACTATGTTTACGTGCACATAAATACAGAGTAATCACATCAAACATTAAATAAATACTTTTTGTAATAGATAATTAAGTTTTAATCAGATTTTTTGGAGAAATTTGTGTTAGCGTGTGCTGGTTATTATCAATTTAGGCGACATAATTGTGTATTCACCATGACACCAGAGCTTTTTGAGTATTTCTTTTATTTAGGTTCACTGGTGCAGAGATGTGTCAGAAATAGACAAAAGAATACACCGAAGCCTAAGACAATAACAGCAGCTCCAATATAAATGTATTTGTCAGTGAGTATAGTTAATATGGGAGTTTGAATTTATATGATAATACACAAAACGTGGGAAAGAGTTATGGGGTTCATTTATTAATTTAATAATTCAAATTTATTACATGAATATGAACATATTTTATATTTTAAGACACATTTGAGGATCTGATTATTGTGTTTCTGGTGACCCTGCAGGCGAAGGAGAAACGGGGCTGGACACTGAACAGTGCTGGCTACCTGTTAGGTCCCCGTAAGTACCAACTGCACGCACACACACACACACACACACACACACACACACACACACACACACACAGCCTGCTGTTACACTGCATCAGTAACAGGCTGTTATCCAAAAGCTCATTTTCAACACATCTGGAGACATAGTTTGGGAGAATGTGTTCCCTCAGCAACCACCATGTGCTTCTAACATTGTGGGAAACATTTCTCTGTCATATTCTAAGAGTCTGTATGAGACGCACCAGTCTTTTAACTAACGCCAATGTAAACCCATCCACATCATTATTTGATGGGCAGAGAAAGTGACATAGTAAAAAGAGTGAGGAAATCTTTGAGGTGGATGGGTCAAATAAACTTGGACTTTCACCCAGGAGACCGCTGTTTCTGTCCTGTGGGAAATCAACGTTGACTTATTTAACCGTAGTTTAGTTAACAAACTTCCGTACTTTGCTAACGCCAGTTATGTAACAAAAGCAGTTATTTTACGTAACACTTATTTAAACCCAAACCACAATGTTTTACTAAAGCTAACCAAGTACTTTTGTTGCCTTAACCAACTTGCCTAATTTATTGACGCCAGTTGCATTATCAAGTTGAATTATTTTAACCACAATTAAGATCTTTTAATCCTAACCAAGTACACTTGTTGTGTAAGTACATCTAAAAAAACAGTTAAACCTACGATGGAAATTGATTTGGAAAAGAGACTGTGTGCATGTAACGTGTGGAATCTGTGCGTTTCCTGTGAACACAGAAGTTTATTTTGAAAAATCGCAATGCATTTATCGAGCGGAAAACATGTCATCCAAAACTGACACGAGAGGGTCACCTAGAGCGTAATAGTTTTAAGCGTGGGGCCACTGACCAAGCGTCAGACTTGATGAGCTGGGAGTGAGAACGTGTCGCTTCAACAGTGTTTTGTACTAAATTACACTTCCAGAACTGCTGAAATGTGAACATTTTAACTACATGTTCTTGCAAAAAAAAACTAACCCCATCACCTGTTTTTCAACACTCACTTCCATGCCTATGCTGCTATCAGACTGTAATCTTTGTAGCTCTGCTTCATCCTGCCTCTGTGTGCTTGGACGGCATCTGGTTTGTCTTGTCGAGGCTTTTAGATTTTTTTCAAACACAAAATCAATCACATGAATTAAAATCCAGGCCGTGGTCAAGTGTCAGTAGCTAACAGCGTTTGGCAGCTAAATATCTAAACCTGTTTAGTTTACCTTAATCAGTGGATGGAAAAATGGTTTTACTATGAATCAAATGATCCAACGATATCACCACATTTCTGGGTTGAAATAATGAACGTCCTTACCAAAGGCTGAACCAAGAGGGATGCACTCGCCAAATATAATAAAGTAAAATACATCAAACGTTTTTAGGCTGAAAAATGTAGAAACTCTATCAAAGTGATGCATTGGCAACATTTTAAGGCGAGCCAACACACATGTGGCCAACAGAACCCTCTTTTTACGACATTAATTAATGACACGCTGCATTAGTTGATATTTTCTGATCACTAGGGGGGCAGCAGAACAAAATGAAAACACAATATTTACATCTAAGTAAAGTGTAAAAACGACACGATGAAACAACTTAGATGTAAGCGAACGTGTTAAGCTTCAGAGGTGCTAGTAGGTGGATTCATTTACCTTTGGACAAACCCATTGCAAGCTGTTTCCCCTGTTTACACTCTTTATGCTAAGCTAAGCAAACCGACCACTGGCTGTAGCTTCATATCTAATGGGGTGGTATCAATCTTCTCATCTAGCCATATCTCTAAGCAAGAAAGTGAATAAAACTATTTCTCAAAATGTTTTATATATAGGCTAATTTATTAGCTTCAACCAAAAGTCGCGGGTGGAAAAGAGATTTAGTTCCAGATCGTGACTGAAACTGTTCATTGTTAAAGGTGCAATGTGTAAAATCTGGTCATAATTTTAGATTAAAGTATTCCATAAATTAACAAACTTTATCAAACGAACAGGAAGAGGTTACAGTGTTGATGTCATGTCAACACTATGTTATTGTGTTGCAGAGATATCTACCGAAATTAGCATTCTAACCAGCTAGCCCCGGCCCGTCCTGTCTTGTAATACCACTTGTACCTGGAGAGGTGATAGTGAGTCACTATAGAGTCCCGTCTGTCCTCAGTCAAACATGAGAGGAAGTAGAAATAGAGCTGGTATATATATATGTCTCGCAGAGTTTCAGCAGTTTGGTCGAATTGTCTTTTTAGAATTGTTTTATAACTGATGATTGTACATTTAGATTGTATGAACCCAGTAGTAGTGGTGAAATGCTGCCCCCTACGTGTTGGGAGCATGTCGGCGGATCTTACACATTGCACATAATTTATGCATGACATAAACCATCCATAAACAGTCAACATCAGCTCCTGAGCTCACTGGTATTGTTTGAAAATGTTGCCTATGTAACACGACTTGCAACACTAAAAAGGTCGAGCCCATCTTCTGTGAATCAATGGTGTTCTGTGTCTTTGTCCCTGTCCATTGTCTCCACCGTGTCAGCTAATTTAGCATAATTCAAAGATGGCCTCATTACTGTGAACACTGGCTATATCCAGATACGTGTGTGTGTGTGTGTGTGTGTGTACGTGTGTTCTTACCAATTTGTCCAAATAACTCTACGACAGGAAATCTGGAAAATGTTGTCCCTTTGGTTGTGTGTGTGTGTGTGTGTATAGCCCAGGTAAAGGTTGCTCCTGCCTCATCCTGTGTTTCAGGTCGTATTGATCACCTAATTCAGATAAAGGATTCTCCCAGTGTCCGAGGCAGAGACGAGCTGGTCACTCAATGTAAGATAGAAACATACAGCCGCTGCAGGGCTTTGGTGTTGGCCCGGGAATTGCTCCGTCCAAACATCCCGCCTCCCTTGCTGCCGCTGTCACTCATCTGGGGAGGACGTCCGTCCCCCCACTACTGTCTGTGCTTACGCATCCAAACATCGCATTTCTCTCAGTGCTAGAAGCAAAGGAATTCATGTTGAGTTTATGTGCTGTAAGAACGGGAGGAACAGAAAAACCTCTTGTGAGCATTATTCTAAAGCGGTCCCACCCAACGAGATCAAACTGCCTTTATTAGTTGTAGCGGTTAGTTACTAAATATGAACAAACTGTTGTTAGCTGAGGCGATTGTGTCAATGTTACTCATATGTTATATACATATATGTTATGGATTTCATTTTAATGAAACTGCCAGTGCAGGTCACTTTGCAGCCATTTTCCACAGATTGTCAACACTTCTGTAGTTCTTTCTGCCAAGTCGCAAAAGAACTACAGAATTCTGATATCTCCGGCAAACATGAGCGGTTTACGACATCGGGTTGCTTGTAATATTATGTACTGTGAGATATGACATCAACACAGATACATCAGATTTTGCTGTGTTTTGAACATTGACATTGACAAATATTGTTTTCAAAACCTTTAAATCACTACAATTGAAATAAGAAGAAACTTTACATTTTTAAGGTAAATGCACTACATACTATCGACATACTACATAATACATTTTCTATATAAAAACACAGGGCTAACATTGCAGGATATATAATATTAAATGTAATGACCAAAACACCCACAGAGACAGGAGGAGCAGTTTGTACTTGAAACACAAAACCATTAAAGTACATCATTTCCCCTCCCTCTGGTCACACCGATGTCATGTATTTTAATTTGACCTGTAGTTTAACACGCACACAAACAGCACAGGGCGGAGCAGCTCGAGCACTACTTGAGCTAATGAGGAAGCTAAGTTGAGGCAAACACCTCCAGCCACTTAACGTCCCTCCTCTTCAACCCCACACTCTTAATGTGAACTTAAAATGTGATAAAGACACATACTTGAAAAAGTCTGGTGAGTAATGCTGCAAAGTCAAAGAGAATAGATAAAGGTTAGATATTTTCTCTAGTTTAGTGAATATACATTTTCATTAACTTAATCATCAGCAAACAGACACACCTCAAGGTTCTATATGAGGTCCAGTTTGTATTATTACTAAACAGAGCTTTTTCCCACCCACATGGAAGAGTCTTTAAGGATTCTAAACAGACCTTCAGAACAGCAGTAAATGTTGACCTCTAGATATTTTATGGAAAAACGGAAGCTTAGCTCTGTGATCCGAATCATGGTAAAACATGAAGGCACAAATGAGAGGCTGTGGTTGTAGAAGCCGTTAGCCTTGAGCAGCTCCTCCGGGTGCAGTGTTTCTGTGCTCATGGAGGGGGTACCAGGTTCCAGCACAACTCGGAACTATTGTATTTGGTGTGTAGCATGCTAGCTAAGAAGATACAACTTGTGGACATTGAAGTTTCTTTCCAGCATGTTTTCCCCTTTTCACAGGGAAAAGCTAGTGCTAAGCTAGGCTAAAGGTAGCCCTGTCTCATCCGTGTGAAGAGTCGGTTTTACGAGAGAACTGAGGCTGCATTCACAACAAATCCGGCGTTGCTTCGGCAAAACCGCCAGTTCTCCGACTTATTTTATGCTACGTGACCAGAACAACCCGGCCACGAGAGAAAAAGAAGGCACTGGTATCTCTGTATGGACTCTACTGGACATACAGAGATGACTTCTAAACTCATGCGCTTCTGAACTAATGCATTTCTAAACTAATGCGCTTCTGAACTAATGCATTTCTAAACTAATGCGCTTCTAAACTAATGCATTTCTTTTGAAAATGTGGTGTTTGCTAAATTTGTAAATGTTGGGATGAGGACTTTGAACTCTGTCAAAAGACACCTCTCTGTGATCTGTAGGAATACACTGACAGCTAACGATGCATCACCATGGCATCTCCATTATTTATTTTCATCATCATCATTATTCTAATGCATTTCTTCGTCTGCCATCCATCCCATTTCAGACGTGTGCTTCTTTTTATTTATTTTTTTTTACCGCAATTCCATGAGCCAAGCCCTGCAGGTGGTCCGTACAAGTTTGGAAATTGAACCAAACAATTACAAACCAAATACCATGCTGAAATAACCAAGTGTACAACAATTGCCTTTAGATCTTCTTTCAAGAGCAGCTGGAAATGAAAGCTTCAACTGAATAGCTGTACTACTTTAATCAAGTTGAACTGCAGTTTAACTTTACCTCAATTCAAGTGAATTCACCTCAGTGCAACTGTTTGTCTGACTGTATCGATTGTGATCACTCCTCATTGTCCAGATGGAATAGATGGACACAGGACACTAGGAGACAAGGCGGGTCTGGCTGGCAAGAGGGACATGGGCCAGGAGGAGGACTTCAGAACAGGTCTGTCTCTCACACACAGAGGGATCTTCCTTTATCTACTGATAAAAGACAAACTCTGTGATTTTGTTGTGCAACCCCTTACTGACACCCTCGCAACCTTCGCAATGATCGCAGGCCATTTTCAGAAACCTTCACGTTTCATTCTGCTTAAAGGAATATTCTTAACTCACCGCGTGTTACCTTGAATTCTTGAAGAAAACCTTCATGCCTCCACGGTGAGCGAAGAATCAAAGTTATTTCTTGATGAATGGAGGCCAGGTTTGACATCATCAAAATTATACCAAAACATCTGTTTACAAACCCTCACACAACTCATACAGTATCCAAGTATAATCCAGTCGTATACTCACTACTTCGCCATCATTTTACTATTTAAAACACTTACGCCACATCCTTCTCGTTTTGGTATGGTAGTGGCGAAAGTGTTTTTAATAAACAAAGATTCCTTTAAGAATCAAGGCAACAAAACGCTCATTTGTTGGTGAAATACGCTGATTTACTTTGTATAATTTATACGTAATATTCCACTATTATTCCAAATATGACAATAGACATTTTTTGTATCGGAGGAACATCTTCAAAGTTCTAAGAACCTCCATTTTTATTGTGGCCGCACCGCTAACAAAGAACACTGTAGTTCTTAGAACACAGTTTTGAGGGACTTTTTTCGCCCTTATTTCAGAGTAGGTACTCTCTCATCTCAAGAGGAACCATGAGTGACATGAGTGTACGATGATTGGTATAACACACAAGCCACTGCAGCGCTGGCAACCACCAAGAGACCGACAATGAAGTCCAGTGAGTCAAAGAACGAGTTAGAGGCACTACAGCAAGCTAACACAGAAGCACAAAGGCTAACACAGTAGCGCAAAGGCTAACACAGTAGCGCAAAGGCTAACCCAGGGGTGTCTATTCTCATTTTAGTTAGCCATGTAAACAGCTTAATTGGAGTATTTTCTGTTTCGGAACAGAGTGATTGTTTGGATCAGTTTTTTCTGTAATTCACGTCTCTGTAGTGTTGGAATTTTTCAAGAATACTTCCTCCCTGTCTCAAGATATATCTGGAGATACTGATTTCTCCATGTCTTTACCTGAGCTCCTGTCAAACCTTTCAGTGTGCTACCAGATTCAGATGACGTGACAGTTGGCTGCACTTTGTTGCTTTACCTCCACAGGTTCCCTGAGAATAGCAGATGGAGAGATCATCCACACTATCATTGACTTTCTGTCGTACCTGAAGCTCAAAGGTATGTTCATTTCTATTTGAACTAACCTCAAAGTGAGGATTAATGTCAGAAGTCTGTTCAAGACCAAAGCGTTTGCTGCAGAAAGCTACAGCATGTTGATAGGAAATCAAACTCTAAATAAAGACAACAATAATGGGAATAATGTGTAGAAAGTTATACTTTGCATTAAGTCTGAGTAGAGGACTTTTTTTTACACTTTCAACAGCATTACAACACGTACTATCCCCACCACCAAATAACAAAACGGTGGTTTTGTTATTTTTTCTTCAAACCACAGATTCGTTGAATGTTTTTGACATTCAGTCAGAGCAGATGACGTATTGAGTGTCCGTTAGTAAAGGTTACATGGTGTTATAAGCAGGAAAGCCCATTGAGGTTGAAAGGAAGTGGTGGATGGGTCAAATAAACAGTACTTTTACACTGGAGACCGCTGTTCCTGTACAGTGTGAAACCAAAACCAACTTTGACTCATAGACTTGTTACGTAATGTTGTGTAAGAAAGGCCACTAAGGGCTGTTATTTATTCACGCTAGTAATGTTGCTACGGCTCTTATGTTACGTTATGGTATATTGTAATGCCACGCCGTTACGTTACGCCGTTACGTTACGCCGTTACGTTACGCCGTTACGTTACGCCGTTACGTTACGTTGTTACGTCGTTAAGTTACATTGTTATGTTTTTATGTTATTATTTTAAGACAAACTACAATGTTTTTGTGGGCCTCAACCAAATATTTGTGTTGCCATAACCCAGTATTTCTCAAACTGTTGGGCGCGCCCCTCTAGTGGGGCGCAGTGGTATTACAGGTGGGGCGCAGGGGGAAATGCAGAATCTTTTTATTTCAAGAACTTTATTGAGAACTTCACATATTACAAAAGTACAAAGTTCACGGACATAAAACTAAGTCATAAATAAATACATGGCGAAATGCCTGTACTTTCGTGTAAATGTTTACGTTACGCCGTTAACAGGTTACGCTTGCACATGCGTGACGGCCAAGATCCTTGGCGACTCACATGTGTAGCTTAGTGTGCAAAATGAAGAGACATCGAGATGACGTCCGACTCTACCCGGAGGCTGAGGTTTACAGCTCAAACACTGAGTGAGTTCTGGCTTGGTGTGGAGAGGGAGCCTCCACTCATCGGACAGAGGGCTGTGGGCATTCTGCTACCCTTCGCCACATCCTACCTCTGTGAGATCGGCTTTTCTGCTGTTGTGTCTCTCAGAACAAAATACAGATCTAAGCTCAACATTGAGCATGAATTGAGAGTGGCCGTATCAAGTCTGCAACCCCGTTTTAAAAAGATTTGAAGTGGAAAGCAGTCTCATTGCAGCCACTAATACTGATAAAACGTGATGGCTCACACATATCTGCACTCATTTTGTTTTGCACAGGTTGCACGTTGTTTTGAAAAGATACGCAGTGTAAAACTCAGTAAAACTCTTTATTGCCAAATATTTGAACTTGTTTTGTTTAGTTTTTCACAGGTTGCACTTTATTATTATTATCTTGAAAAGATATTCAGTGCAAAACAGGTTAATTGCAGCCACAATAAACTATTTTTTGCCAAATATTAGTTATTTTTTGCACAGATATAACTTTATTTGCATTGTTCTAACAAAGTGATTGCACATTGTATCTGTTTTTGTCTGATGGAGCAATCTGGTTTACTTGAAAGTGATTGTAATTTTCTTTATTCTATTATTTGAAAAAGCACAGATGGAGGAGTCACAAAATGTTGTTTCAATAAAAGTTCAACATGGACCATTTTGTTACAATTTTGTTGGGGCGGTGGGGCATGAACATTTTTCTTCCTCCAAAGTGGGGCGTGACAGAAAAAGTTTGAGAACCACTGGCCTAACCCAAGGAATTGTTTCAAAACTCAAACCATGAAAAATTGTTCATCTTTGCAAGCATGTACGAGGTTAAAAGGTCACAAGGTTAATTTATCGTCATTTTATCTCGGAGTCGATATTAAATGTATTACTGAAACGTATTTTTGGTCCAAAAACGTCGACATTCTATGTATTACGTTGTTTGCAGAAACCTACAATGCCAACATGTTGTTTTGGAATACTTTCAAGTTAACTGTGGTTAAGATGAGGATCCTTGAATGTGGGATGAATGTGATTCCATATACAGTATACATACATGAAGCAATATACTGATACCAGTGTTATATGGAATAACATACTGACACATATAGTGATGTTCTCTGAACCCTAACACATCTGTGTGTGTGTGTGCTTACAGAGATGGGAGCCTTGGACAGCCTGCCTTCCTCTGTGACATCAGACGAACTGGACAATCCCTAATGTGTGTGTGCCCCTCTTCAGATCATCTCCATCTACTTAAGTCTATGTTCCTGCTGTCTGGACTCCACTGCCCTAACTATCACCTTACTGTCTATCCATTCACACTCTGATGCTGGATGTGTTCTGGTACCAGAGGTCTGATTATTTTACTCTTTCAGATGGATTGTCCCCCAATGCAAATCGTACAGATCTTTCTGCTCCTGTGTAAATACAACACTTTGTATGGGGGACCTCTGTTCAGAAAGCAACACTGTGTTGTCATCTAAATATACTATCATCTGATTTACGACAATGGAGTCAAATAAATAAACAAATGGCACTGGACTCAGTGGGCAAATTGAATTTCTTTCTTTCCGTCAGTCACAACATGTATCAGTTAGACTCCAGCGGTAATACATGCGTCACCTTGTTGATGATTAACAAACTCAGATTATCTTTGCTTATCCATTAACGGAGATATATACGACATTTGTTTGAAAACATGAAACACGAAAACCTTTTTTTTTTTATCAACTGTAATTTAATATTATGTTAATGTTTAATTTTTGTAATGTGTTTGAAATGACTGTAAATTCTCTCCACACTTTGGGTTCACCATCAGGTTCCTGAGCAATATTATCTTGACCATCAAGAACGATATCTTTGCAAAATGAGGGCAAGTCATTGAGCCATCTGGCGTTTCTGAATCAGACGACGCTGCTCTTAAATTCGGCAAAACTCACAAACGAACATAATCGTTTACTTTTACTCACACTTTGTGTCAGTTGCGGTCAACACTTACGTTGAACTGCAACAGGAAAACAGGAGTTAATGGCAAGAAGAGGAAACTAGTGGGTTTAGAAAACAGCGAGGTTCTTTCGAGCTGAGGCGTTCGGGTGAAGTTTACGACGAGAAAATGCTTACAGCTGAACTCAGCAGCGTTACATCCAACTCTCGCGATGTTTTGTAGACAACATTTGAGATCAGACGTGACAAAATAAACAAGTTTAAGCGTTAAGTTAACCTCTGAAAACAGAGTTCGAGTCCTTCTTTAGGCTTCTTTTCTCGGTCATTGAGTGAAAAAAGGTTTTGAATCCACACCCGAAGACAGCGAAGCCACGAACGCTCCGATTTGAGAAGGTTTTGTGGTAGTTTTTTTAGAGTTTAAAACTGTTTAACAGAGTGAAAAACAATTCTGCTGCTTCCCGCTCTGTGTTGTAGTTGCGCCAGCTGCCGCGCTGTTTTGCCCAAATAGCAAAGAAATACTTGTCATTAATCATAAAAAAAATAGGATTTTTATGAAAATTGAAAACGCTTCACGAGTTTGCGTGTCATCCTTGCGCTATACGGGCAACCAACATCTAGCCATGTCTGCTTTCAACAGGCAGCTAAATGTATTCTTTGTTCTCTTATATGTATTGAGAGGGAACCCTAGTCATGGTCATAACTTTATAACACAACAATTAACAACCCACAACTAACGCTCTTTAACAGAGAAAAACACAACAGCACACAACAGTCTGTGACACATAAACAATTTGTAATACTAATAATTGTACATTTATAAAATTTCACCGCCGAACTGCATGCTGGGTACAGCTCGCGAGCGAGCCTGCTTGCTAGCACAACAGTCTGCTAACAGCTGGGAGAGGCTCCGCCGCTCCAGTTACGTTACATTAAAGAACAGAACAGAGCGATGCAGGATGAACAAAGACAGACCGGAGATGCACCGATAGAGGCAGACACATATGTAACGCTGATTACCGTGTAATATTTGTTATAAATGTACATTGGTGCAAAGAGGTGATTAGAAGCTGTACAGGGAGGGGCTTAGGGCCCAGGGGAATGTAGGTGAAGGAAACGGGAAGAGACGGAAGACACGCCACACAAACAGCTGTTCAGCTCGTCACGATCCTGCAGACCAGTGATTCTCAACTGGTGGTTCGTCGCGGACCTGTTTTCAGTGGGTTGCGGGCCTTTGCTTTATGCAGCGGATTTATTCACGCTCCTTTCCAGCATTTACGGCACTTGTTCAGCGGTGCAGGAAAAACACCGACCAATGCGTTGTAAATCACGTCACGTGATGCAGTTTAGCCAATAAAATAAAGGTATTCTGATACGTTTCCTGACTGCAGTGAGATGTACCCACACCGTGACACAGGGGGGAGAGACAAGGAAAGAGATTACAGAGCAGAACTCTGATAATGCTAGATGTGACAGTCAAATATTTGTATGATCCGGTCAAAGAATCAAACTGCTAAAAAGACATTAACCTTTACACTAAAAACACTGTATCAAAAATGACTACTTAATAAGTAAGTGCATGATAAAATATGCATTAATGTGATAAAAAAATATCGTGTAAGATCCCAGCTGAGTGATGAACACCTCAGATCTGTTCTGAGAATTGCCACAACCAAACTGACACCAAACGTTAATGCACTGGCTAAAAAGGGTGACCAACAACACTGTTCCCACTGAAATTAAATGCAAGTTACTTTTTAGGTCATGGCTTTTACTTGTAATTCATATTAGTCCACACAAACACTCTCCATTCATCTGCTACTGGCCCGGCCCGTCTGTCAAGTTTTAAAACTCAATGTGGCCCCCAAGCCAAAAAGTTTGCCCACCCCTGATTTAGCCCATGGGCCAGGACATAGTGGCACGTTGCATTCTGGGTAGTGGGCGCCATGTTTTAGCAGGGTTGTTTACTTGCAGTTTTTGCATTGTTGCAAACACGAAACAACACAGACAAAACAAATAATGAAACTGTTGCTTGTACATTGTCAAGTTAATGACAATACAACTATAATAAGTTATGGTGTGACGTCTAAACTGAGCCGAAGGGCCAGATATTAGCCACCATCTTAACATCATTGATAACTAACGCAACTCATTAGCAAACGGCTTCTTATAGGTTGTCACGTTACTGAGATGACATTCATTAGAAGTTAATATATGAAGTGTGGAAGCTGAGGGCTAAAGTTAGCTAGCTATGTTCACAATGATGCCAGCTTAGCTCAGCTCCTGTAATTCACGAGGCAGATAAGAAACAATAACTAGCTAATTAATGATAACATTTTAACTTGGTGGATACATTTTTACATCATGGTAAAATCATTTCCCATTCCTCTTTTGTTTCCCTGCCGCAGCCTGTCCGACTGTGGCTTCCTACCTTGGCCATGACGTTGCACGATGCCTCTTCTACTCTGAACTTGCGTCTTCGTCTCCGGCTGCTTCTCTGGCAGTGACAGGTGCTGCCATGGCTCTTCCATCCTCCCTCCTTCCCCTGCTGCTGTTCCCAAATTGAATGTTGAATTGTGACCGCTGCCCACTGACCAGGGAGTGTGAGAAACTTCTCAAAGGGAGAGGAGGAAGCTTGAGCGGGACTCTTTGGTTAGTTATCAAGAAGAGGATTCGTTCATGCAGACAACTCAAGTTCTAAAGTGGCTCAGTGTAGTTGTTTAAGACCGTTGGCAGTCTCCAACAAGAGTAAAGCACTTTGAGATGCATGAGGTTATATTGGTTGTATTTCTCCCAAGGTTTCTGCCACAAATGTGGAAAAACAACACCACACATTCACCTGCTCGGGCAGCCACGCCAGAGAGGTCCTCTGATACGAGACAGCGACGATGTATGGCAGACATTAAAGAGGTCTGAGAGGTTTGGAATGAGGTTGGTTAGAAAAAAAACTGAATTAATGAATACAAAATAAATAAATAAAAAGGGCATATTCACCATTGTTTTCGATGAAGTGACAAGAGGGGCTTATTTATAGTAATGTGCGCAATTAATTCTTTGAAGAGACAAGGATGTATAAAGGAATGGTGTGCAGGATCTAGTGTACACAGTTTATATACATCTGAAAATGTCGCTGTGCATATGTACTTTTAATATTTTGTCCAAGAGATAACACGTGGAAGTCTTGTGTAGCTCTGTGAAATATTTACATGTCTTTGATGTCGTTAGACTTTTAGATCCAGATGTTGAAACGCAACAGCGGGGTCAGTGCAATATGTACAAAGGCGGGTAACGGACATTTTTTTAAATACCTGAGATGAGCCTTTTCAGAGTGGATGATGACATGAATGACAGCCAAAGGTACGACACAAAACTGATGGCCAAAGCACAGACAATCACTTAACAGGTAATTCAATTCTGTAACCACCAGATGGAGGCACACCTCATGGATAGGTGAGAAAAGGCAGGTTGTATTTCTGTAGCTCCTTTCATACACTGAGGCAATTCTAAGTGCTTTACAAAGTAATACAAATACAGTAAAGATAAAAGATTTGGAATTAAAGAAGTGCAATAGTACAGACAAGAAACACAAACAATACAATAAAAAAGAAGAACCGTAAACGTACCTGTAGCTGTGAAAACAGACGTATATGAACTTACCTGACATACTTAAATGTTATATTCAATATTCAGAGCATTAATATAGCAGCAAACAACTATGTACTATGTAAATATATAATGTAGTAATACATGAATATGGATGTGTGTCTCGTAATCCGAGTTTCTCTTTTCTCAACTATGTCTTTATAGACAATAATAGTTGTTTGCTGCAATACTAATGCTCTAAATATGGTTTATTGTTACTTCCTTAGACCATTCTCTGTCTGGAGAGGTTATTGTTGTGTGGAGTGGACACGAGAACGACATAAATTAAGGGACATAAATGTGTGTGACTAAAAGGGAGCAATGCGGATTATTCGCATCAGACTGCGTGCTTATGGTTGTCAGGCGGATGTTCCGTATTCCAGCAAAGCATTTTTGCATCGCATTGGTGAGAAAACGGCTTTTAAAAAGGCTCTTACGCCTGCTTTAAAGAAACAGAAATTGTGGGGGCATAACGCAGATCGACTGGGAGTGTGTTCCAACGCAGTGGATCCTAAAAAAGAAACCTCAGTATTAATTCTAGTGAGGAACTGACTGGCTCTTGGCCAGCGGGAGCTTTGCAAACCATCAGAGATATTATTAGTGGATAAGTTAACCGTTAAAGTGTAGAAGTTTGTGATCTATCTTTTCGCGATCTCTTCTCTTTTTCTGATAGGAAAAAATACATCATAGAGCTCACAGTCTCATGGGAGAATGCGTTTGAAGAGGCCTATGAACGTAAGAAGCTACGCTATGCAGAGCTTGCAGCAGAAGCAAAGCAGCGTGGCTGGAACACAAAAAACTGTCCAGTGGAAGTGGGATGCAGAGGATTTGTGGCTTCTTCGACCATCAGACTGCTGAAAGAGCTGGGAAGCCACGGTCAGGCTCTGCGGCAGACCATCAAGGCAGTCTCAGAGGCGGCTGAAAGAAGCAGCCAGTGGATTTGGATCAAGCGGA